TGTTGATGATAGTGAACACATGAAGCCACCTTGTAGTGGACTGGACCGTTGGTCCACCAAGGTTGGTATTGTCTACTCAGTCTGGTAGTGGCTCTCCACAGTCTGAAGCTGAGGTCTGAGCTGAGGTCTTTTATGTCAGCTACTGCCTGAGCCTTTTACATGGACATGCCGGGTATTGAACCGGGGACCTCCTGCATGCCGAGCAGATGCTCAACCACTGAGCCACTGGCCTCTCTCTCCATGTAAATCATGGAGTTCTTATGCTCCTAGTGAGGGTGGGTAGCTGTGTTTGGGTGTCAAAAGAATCCAGATATTGATGACTGTGCTAACTTGGACGTCAACTGTCCTGGGCCGGAGCTGAACTCACTTGCTTGGCAGCTTTCCATTTTCTTCTATGAATGGGCCTACATGTCTTGGCTAAGCTGCTTTGCTTCCAGTGTGCTTAATGCAAACATTATGGGTCTGCACAGTTTATTTATTTGATCTTTAGACCGCCCTCCCCCCTAGAGGGCTCAGGGCGGTGAACAACATTTCGTTAATACATGTAGAATCAGACTAAAACAGTTAAAAGCAATAAAACCGCGACAGTTCCAAACTATTCCAGGTGGCGCTTGAAGCCACCTTATATCCTACCCCATAGGGGAGGAGATGGAGGAGGCCAGGCTTGATGACGAACCATTGCTGTCTAGAAATACCAGGTGCCATCAGGAGGTCCACCAGTGGGGCCAGGACATTAGAAGCCCTCCCACTGTTGACCCCCCCAAGCACCAAGAAGACAGAGCATCACTTGCCTCAGAGCCCCTATCTATACCTTGTGGCTAATAGCCACTGATGGACCTCTGCTCCATAGGCTTATCTAATTCCCTTTTGAAGCCATCCATGCTTGTAGCCGCCACCACTTCCCGTGGCAGTGAATTCCAAGTGTTAATCACTCTTTGGGTGAAGAAGTACTTCCTTTTATCCGTTCTAACCCGACCGCTCAGCAATTTCATGGAGTGCCCACGAGTTCTTGTATTGTGAGAAAGGGAGAAAAGTACCTCTTTCTCGACCTGCTCTTTCCCATGCATAATCTTATAAACCTCGATCATGTCACCCCTCAGTCATCTCTCCGGAGCGTAATGCTCTTCAGGGGGTGTACCAGGAGAGGTGGTCCTGTAGATAATTTCACATTCAGAAGGGGTGTCCTGACCTGGATAGCCCAGGCAGGCCCGATCTTGTCAGATCTCGGAAGCGAAGCAGGGCCAACTTTGGCAAGCACTTGGAAGGGCGACCTCCAAGGAATACCAGAGGTGGGACGCAGAGGCAGGCTAATCAAGCCACCTCTCTGAAAAACATCCAAGCCCCCAGTAGGGATCGCCACAAGTCAACCATGACTTCCAGGCAAGGACACAAAAACGCACACACAGATATAAAATAAAATTTAAAAAATCAGGTACGGATGCTACATACAGCTTTGGGTAATCAGCATTCCAGTGCCATTCCATGCCGCCTTGATCTGCCACTCTGGAAAAGATCCAGTCCAGACATCTATTCTTAGCTCACCCGGGAGCGGATGCCCTTCACCTTCCTCCCTGAGGCCTCTGATTGTACCGTACTTAAAATTCTGGGAATTTCCACCCTACGAACGTAGTGTGCAGCGGGATATGGCTCAGTGGCAGAAGACGTGCTTAGCACGCGGAAGGTCCCAGGTTCAATCTCTCGCATCTTCAGTTGAAGTATTGTAAGCAGCAAGTGATGGGAGAGTTGCCTCTCTGCCTGAGACCCTGGAGAGCCTTCTGCGTATCTGAGTAGACAGTAAAGTGAATGAACCTGTGATCTGACTCTGAATAAGGCAGCTTCATATGCTTGTTTTTCTGGATCAGACCGAAGTCCTGACATCCTGTTTTGAACAATGACTGAGTGCCTTTTGCTGGTGCTCTCAAAGACATCAGTCTGCCTTATACTGAATCACCAACGGTCCGTCACAGTCAATAGTGTCTACTCAGACCAGCAGTGGTTCTCCAGGGCCTCAGTTAGAGGTCTTTCGCATTACCAGGTTCCAGATCTTTCACTGGAGATGCTGGGGATTGAACCCCGCACCTTCTGCATGCCAGCCAGCTGCTCTACCATTGAGCCATGGCCCTTCCCCTTCAAACAGGGCATGAAAGTCACCTTCTGCTGTTGGTCATGGTTACACCCTACACTTTCCCCTGCAGTCCCCGTTTGAAGGTGAGATGGCTAGAAGAAACCTAGAGGGGCAGGGCTACAAATAATTCTTCCTACTCATTTATTCTTTTCCTTGTTACTCCCCTTATATCCAAATTGGGCTTTCCCTCCCTTTCTTTGAGTGTTGTCTGCTGCTTCCTCCCCATTCAGGCCCCCAACAAACAGCAAAACGGTCAAAGTTAACCCCCACCCACCCCCTGAACTCCATGCTGCTTTCTGAACAGGTATTTTTGGGTTCAGTAGCTTGCTGCAAAAGGGAGGTGCCGAGCTGTACCTGCTGGAAATGGTGGTAGCAAAGGGAAGTCGCCATTTCTGCCTTTTATCCCTTTTTGTCACAGTCCCTACCTAGTTTCGTGGGGCAACGGTTCCATGTCGTCCAGATCATGTTGATTAATTCTGCCCCTCATCTGTTCTCCCCCCACTCACCATGCCCCAGGGAGAATGCCCCGAGGTTGCATCTGTCCACTTACATTGCTGTCCCCCTTCCTAATCCTTGCAGACTCTTCCGGGTAACTTTTCCAGACTATGTGCATCCTCCTTGTGGCCCATTTGAGGGTCCTTGCATGGCTTCTTTCTTTGCAGCCCTCAAGGGCATTATGCTTCTGTCTAATGGTTTTTGAAGCCAGTCTGGTTTTATTTGCAAGAGGTAGATTTTGGTGGGTGGGAGTTTGAGGGTTAATCCAGAGAATGGATGGTGTGGAAAGGAGCCAGCTTGGAGCTGATCACGCTGGAAAGAAATGACCAGAACAGAATTGCTGGCAAGAGGGTCCCCCCCACCCCCGCAATGGATGTGGGGGGAGATGAGGACAGAGGTGACTCTTTCTGGAATGTGGATGGTGCTGGAACTTGGTTACTTAAAGAAGATTTTGTGCATCAGCCCTGAAAAGTAAATGAGGAATCCTCCTTTATCCTTGTCTGGCTAGTCGGAAACACAGGAACAAGTTGCTTTTTCCTTCTGCCCGGCCATGATTTAATGGTGGCATGCGCAGATACAGATTCGTCACCTGTGGGAACATGATATGTTAGCGGGGGGTTAGTACGTATTTCATACACAAAAGTTCCCTGTTTGCGCTGACCTTGGATGGGAGACCTCCAGGAATATCAAGGCCAGGAAGCGGAGGCAGGCAATAGTAAGCCATCTCTCAAATGTCCAAGCCCCACTAGGGGTAGCCAGAAGTCAATCATGACTTCCAGGCACATGCGCATGCGCGCACACATGCACACAGCTAATACTCAACAAAAACAAAACGAAGTTCCTTGTATGTAGGAGATGAAGGATCATAGTAGAAGAAGAAGAGATTGGATTTATATCCCGCCCTTCACTTTGGAGTCTCAGAGCGGCTTACAAACTCCTTTCCCTTCCCCTCTCCACAACAGACACCCTGTGAGGTGGGTGGGGCTGAGAGAACTCTGACACAAACTGCTTTTTCAGGAACAGCTGTGCCAGAGCTTCTGACTGACCCAAGGTCACATCAGCAGGTGCAAGTGAAGGAGTAGGGAATCAAACCCGGTTCTCCCAGATTAGAGTCCGCACACTTAACCACTACAACCAAACTGGCTCTGTAGAGACTGTAATAATGTTGGGGCTTGTGAGTTGATGGTGTTCACTTGAGATCTCTCTAGGCCACTGGTACTTGATAGATGATGGGTGATTTCCCACAAGCGCTGCTCCGCGCTCACTCTTCTCTTTGCCCCGATGGTATGTGTCAATTTCACAGAAGCTGCTGCGCGGCCGCATTTTGCCCCGCAGCTTCCCGTTATTTCCCCCGCGTCTACTCAATCCTGTTTTTTTAAGGATTGAGTAGACGCGGGGAAAATCGTGCGAAGCTATGGGGCAAAATGTGGCCGCGCAGCAGCTTCTGTGAAATTGACACGTACCATCGGGGCAAAGAGAAGAGTGAGCGCGGAGCAGCGCTTGTGGGAAATCACCTGATGTCCTTGATTTTGGGTTGCAGCTTTCCAAAAGAGGGGCCATGGCTAGTTTTATCATACACTATACTTTGTGGAAGGGTTTTTGACCCTGTGTCCATAGGAGTTGAGAAGACAAGAGTCACTGGAAAAGACCATAATTCTAGGGAAAGTTGAAGGCAGCGGGGAAAGAGGAAGACCCTCCATGAGATGGATTGACTCGATCATGGAAGCCACAAGGCCCTCAGTTTGCAAGACCTGAGCAAGTCTGTTAACTATAGAACGTTTTGGAGGACATTAATTCACAGGGTCACCATGAGTCAGAGGCAACTTGACAGCACTTGAACACCCACACCATGGAAGTAACATGTTGATCACCCCAGAATTGCCAGTCTACCAAAAATCTACCCATTCAGTTGCCCCGGAAAAGATCTTGCTTTCTAGACACATTCCTGAGGAAGGGAATATCCTAATTTTTCTCCCCTGGTCAAAAAAACAAATGAATTATACAAACTTATTCTATAAAAACTGCAAGAACTGCTAGGTATGTGTTGGCGTGGTGTTCCTAGGTGAACAGTTCACAGCAACTTGCCATGTGTCATGACCCCAAGAGCTTTCAGCGCTGATGCATACTTAACCATAGCCCAGCAAACAAAGCTGTTGATGTGATATTTTGGTTTCATCCATGTGTGTAGTGTAGCCAGGAGATCTTATGATTGTCTGGCAGCCAACAGTTCTGGCTCTTTAGCATTACCAGGGTGCACCACGAGGAGGTGAGCTAGAATTGCACCCTATTTCTGCACCCCATTTCATGGCATTATATGTTTCTTGTGTGTAATTTTGTCATACAATAATAATTAATTTGGTTTCCTTTCTTGCGTCTGTAGGTGGCATTGCTGGCGGCATTGAGATCTGCATTACATTCCCCACAGAGTATGTGAAAACTCAGCTCCAGTTGGATGAGAAAGCGAACCCGCCACGCTACAAAGGCATTGGTAAGTGTTTGGCCTGGCCGTGGAGTCAGACTGAAAACCCGCTGACCTCTGCATTGTCTGAATGGCTCTGGGAATCGAGCTGGTGTGATGTGGTGGTGGCTAGACTACGATGAGGGAGACCTAGGGTTCGCTCTCCGATCAGCCATGAAGTTTACAGCCTTGGGCCAGTCACTCTGCCTTCTCTGCCTAACTTACCTCACATGGTCACTGTAGTCGTTAGGATCGATGGACTCTAATCTGGAGAACTGGGTTTGATTCCCCGCTCCTCCACATGAAACCTGCTGGGTGACCTTGGGCCAGTCACAGTTCTCTCGGAACTCTCTCAGCCTCACTTACCTCACCAGGTGCCTGTTGTGGGGAGAGGAAGGGGAGATGATTGTAAGCTGCTTCGAGACTCCTTCGGGTAGAGAAACATGGGGTATAAAAATCAGCTCTTCTTCATTGTGAGCATTGGACGTGTGAACATACAAAGCTGTCTGATATTGGATCAAACCATCGCTCCATCTAGCCAGTATAGGCCACTCTGGCTGGCAGCATCTGTCAAGGCAAAGGGCTTCCCAGACATGGTATCTGGATTATTATTTTTTTAATGGGAGATTGAACCAGGAGCCATCTGCATGAAAAGCAGGGGCTCTGTCATTGAGCTGTGGCCTCTCCTCCATTTGAACACCAAATCAGATCCTACCTACTGGATCTTCTCCAAAGAAATGCTTCTTAGGGTGCCATATCTCCTGTTAAGGATTGCTGCCGCTTTCATACAGCAGAAAGAAACAAAGTCCCATTAAGATGCCTTCCCAGACCACCCTATTCTTCTGTCATTAACTTGAGTCATGTTGTATCCTTGGTCCATTAAGTTCCCTCTTGAATTGCTGTCTGCTGTCCCATAATGCACCTGGCTAGCGGCATACACCATGGGAGAGTGTGAAGGAAAAGAAGTTCCCTGCTCAGGAGACAGAAATTGATGAGTCATAGTCTAGAGGGTTACTTAGCTGAATCACTGAAGAGCGTGGCAGAGTTCCAGCCTGGCTGGAGGAGACAGGATTGTAACCTTCTGTTGATGTACACGCTGTGCCTCAGAGTCTTCTACTGCTCGATCCTGGGGGATCGATCTCGCCCTGCAAGGCTGCTCCAAATCAGTTGACATGAAAGGAGACAGTGATATGAGAGAGACCGCAAGGGAGATGTGTGGAAAGATCAGGCAGGGTTGGCACGTCACCGTAAAACTGTGCCAGGGCCGTGCTTGAAGAAAGTAGTTCTGTGAAGTGGAAGCGGGTGCCGTTCATATGCTGCACTCACTCATATATGCATGTCACTATGGAGCAACTGGAATTAACATGTGCTAAAGGCAGGGTGATTGAGTGTAGCCTACTTTTTCTCTGAGGATCTCTGTTTGGTTTGGCAAGAGAGACACTTGGCCTCCTTCTCTTTTGTAACCACAAGGGACTCTCTGCTGGATTATAGACAACAGTTTGCCTCTTGCTGGCCACCTAAGAATTTACATCAGGTTGACTGCTGCCCTCCATCTAGGTCTGTGAAGGTTCACGGTTGCACGTGGAGGTGGATTTTGCCCCAACGTTGCTGTCCTAAATCTGATTTACTGCAGAGTCAAAGGATAACTGCATCCTCAAATGGTTGTAGGTATTCCATGACAAGTTTAAAGTAGGGGGTGGTGGTTTTTGTGGACTTGTCGCTACCAGATTTTGAGAGAATTTCAGTCTCTCCATGAGTCATTGTTGGATCCCCAAGCATCGAGAATAAATCCACGTTTCCAAGAAAAAGCAAAATTTATTTCAAAGCGTTGAAGATATACTCAAACACGTTCTTTGTTAGAACTGGGGATACACAGTTAGCGCAAGCATAATAAAGGAACTTCAAATAGATACAGGTCCAATGAATAGCTTTCCCGCTGGCGGGCTAATGAAACAGTTGCGCGCCCAGTCTATGGGAACCAGGCAGAGCATTAGACAAAACACAGGTGCAGTACTCATGGGAAAAGTAATAGCCAAGCATTACAGCATCTTCTCCCCCACACAACCTCCAGCAGTTATCTTTTGCATTCCAACGCAGGAGCAGGATGATAGAAACCAAGCCGGGTGCAACAGGGAAGGATATGTACACAGAGGTCACAGAAAACAGAATGGCAGCTTGCTGACAGTCATCCAGTTTGCTGGTCTTAAATAGGTGGATCTGAACCAACAACCTAGCGTAAGGTGGAGATGCATCAATAAGACCACTATTCTGTTCATTGTGGTAGCAGAGACTGCACCACTTCAGATTGTCAGTGGGGAATTGCATTTTTTATTGTTTCCATTGTGTGGGGAAGCAACCTTTCTGCAGATAGGAAGGTAGTATAGTAGAAACCTAGCTAGACTAAAACTTTCCTCCCTTTTGTTGGTAGAGCATTCAAAATGACATTCTCATTCCCCCTCCCAGTACTTAGAAGTGGTTCAGTCTTTTTTTAACCATCAAGTTGCAGCTGATTTATGGTGACCCCGTAGAATTTTCAAGGCAAGAGACATCCAGAGGTGGTTTGCCATTGCCTGCCTCTACTTAAGCCCCCCCCCCCCAAAAGCTCCTGGGGGAGTGTCGGGTGTGTGTGTCAGGTGGTGGCCTGGCATCCCTAATTATGATGCAATAAAGACTAAAATAATATATGCAATGGACAAAGCAATCAAACTGGATTGCACAATTAAAGAACAATGAAATAAAAACAGCATAGTACATCCCATAAACTGGCTTTTGCAATTAGATGAGGCCAGAGTATGACTCAGCACTGTGAAAACCTCTCTTTACCCCTCCAGCTCCTTAAGCTAGGGATAGCACCAATAGTGCAAAATAAAATTGCTGATGGGAAAATTGCTCACCTGTGAGGATAAAAATATTTAGGGCTATCAAATGACTATGTACTATGACAGTTCTGTTTAGAGACAATTTCTCTGTGTGTTATGAGACGGAGAGATAACGGGTTGGATCCAGTGATCCATGGGCACAAGGTTCAAGGGATCTTCCCTACCCTCCGTCCTGGAGCTATTTCTGATCCCTGGAACATTTATTCCTGTGGTTGAGGGACTTGAATGTACTAATAGCTGCACTGGCTGGGCAGCTGCAGTGGGGACATGGGAGGCGGCAAAATCACTCCTTCCTTTTTCTTCTCTTCTGCTTCCCCACTCCAGCCACCCAAATGGTGTGGCTATTAGTACACAAGGTCCCGTAACCCCAGAAATAAATTTTCATAAGATCGGAAAGTGGGGGGGGGGGGGATCCCAAACTGTCAGTGCTTTCCTCTGGCGGTTCATGGGATCCAAGCCAATATGTGTGCATTTAATATACATATGTATGTTGTTCTCACGGGCCTGAAAACATTCTCAACAAAAGCCAATGTGTGTGCATTTAATATACACACGTAAGTTGTTCACACACACCTGAAAAAACTACCAGTGCATCTTGGCTTTAGCATTGGCACATTGAGTCTGATTGAGCTGAAAGTACATTACGCGTTTTATACAGCTACAGTGAAAGCTCCTGACTAACAGTGCGTGGTTTCGTTTTTGTGCGAGAAAGTGTAATAAATAAAAATTGTCGTACGGTGTTTACAGAGGTCGTTTTTAAAAACTACTTGGGACAAATATGGAGTGCTTCATAGTGTGAGGACATGTTGAAGAGCGAAATGACTTCTTCTAGAGTTGCCAACTCCCAGTTGGGAAGTTCCTGGAGATCTGGGGGAAAAGCCTGGGTGGGGGGAGAAGAGAGGAGGGGCAGCTTAGCAGGTTGTGATACTGTAGAGACACTCTGTGAAGCTGCCCTGCCCCTGTAGTCCGGAGATCAGTTGTATTTCCAGGATAACTCCAGGCCCCACATGGAAGTTGGTAACACTATTTCCGAAGGCCCTGTGACATTATGAAGGCGCTGGCTTAAAAGACGCCTCTGTTCTAGCGAAGCACTGCTGGCTTCAGTTACTTTCGATTCTTACTGTTGGAGGGAAAGCTGTTGGCCTCTCAGGGTGAAATTTCTGCCAACTTTGAACAGGAGCTGGAAAGGCTAAATGTTTTTTCTTGTAGAACTGGGTAGGGAAAGAAGGGAGTAAGAGGATCTGTGCGGCCTTACAGGAGTCGCCAGCTCAAGAGTTTTGATTTGCTTTTGCCCCCACTGGTTAATGGGGAGGAGAGAGGAATTGAACTCTCAACAAAAGCTTTCATTGACTGGCTGTGTTGAGTATAATCTTGCAGCCCTAGGAAAGCCTGCCCCGTTCCATGCCACATGAGTTTTCGAGGGGGCCCAGTATTGTCACGGCTGCATATTACTCAACTTCTAGAATAACTTGGTTTAAATAAATAGGTTGCTTGATGTTAGGATTTATGAGGATATGTCTGATGGTGTATAGGCTTCAAATCAGTTAGGCAGCAAAATTAGATTTCTAGTGTTTGGGGGTGGAATCTCAGTGCCCCACTTTATGACTAGCAGGGCTGGCATAAATTATGCAAAACGGGGGCAGTTATGCAAAGTTGCATTGTCTGTGCAGGTCAAAGAATTCCTCTTGGCATAGATTGCTTGCATGCAGAATCTATACGATATATAAAACAGAGCCCAGAAAATTGGATAATAGTATTGATGGTTATTGCCCAGCAGAGCTCTTATTTTTGGATCTGGCTTTGTTGTATGTTGAAGGCATTGTGAGAAGCAGGGCGGAACTGGGAAAGATACAGAGGAGAGTCACAATGGTGATAAATGTCTGTAGGAGACCAGTTGTCTAAGGAAAGGCTGATAGAAGAGGCTATATTTAGACGAGATAAAAAATATTGGTGGGAGGGGGTGGAGGGGGGCGATACGTTGACAGTATAAATGTTTTTTGAAATGTCAGAAGGAGAAGTTGTTCGACCTATATATCAACAAGAAGCACGGGATGTTGAGCCAGAGGAAGCTGAATTTTTAGGCTAAATTTAGGGACAGCCTTTTTTAAATATAAGAGCCATTGTGCAACAGGTAAGCTTTTAACAGATTCTTCTAGAAATTTCTTCCTCAAGAAAATCTCCACCAGGACTTTAGCTGAGGGGATGGTTTTTGGTCAAGGTGTGTCTGTTTACTCTAATTACATACCACTTTCCTTATAAAACTGGTTTACTATTTTAAAAAAATTGTAATTCAGTGTACTTTTCCTTAAAAAACAAACATAAAACTAAGAGTTTAGACGTCTTTAGGGATTCCCATAAAATTGTGTTCCTTCAGAGACTGAGAGGTCTTAGCTGGCAATGACTGGAAGGATTTATGAGGGAAGAAGTTAAGAACATAAGAGAAGCCATAAGAGAAGCTTCAGGTAGGCCTGACCCAGATAGCTTCCATTATTTGGATAACAGACAGTGGCCTGGAATGCTACTTCTCACCGGGTTTTAAATAATAATAATGTCTGCCTGGGGAATGGCAGTTACTACATACAGCACTCATCAGATGTGACGCCATGGACAACATTTTTATAGTATTTTGATTTAAAACAGCTACCAACTCCAGGAGTGAAGGCAATAAAATCGAGTGCACATCAGCAGTTCACAGATAAACATAGGGGCATTTTTGTATGACCCCAAGTTTCATATCATCAGACCAATTCATTTGGATGTTGCCAAAGGGTCTTTGCTGTATGTAGCATCTCACTGATCGAGAAGACAGTGTGTGTTCTTGATAGAAAGATGCTAGAAAAAAAGTAATTCTTCTTAAAACAGGTTATCCCAAATATGCCTTAGCAGCTACAATGTGTGATGTGTTGGGCTATGCACTGCATGATACTCCAGTATTTGTGCACATATATTTCATGCTTGTGCCCCAAAGAGGGGATACATTCATTATGACATTTAATAATTAACTTCTAGGAGCTCTGGGGTGGGATCTGGACTGCGATGAATGACCACTCTAACAAGCACTAAAAGTTTTAACAAAGACCTTCCAATGGCAAAAATAAAGCAGTGATTTATTTTACCTCAGGTATACCCAGCCTTTCTCCTCAATGGGGAGCAACTTGTTCTCCTGTCCTCCATTTTATGCTCACCACCCCTCTGTAAGTTAGGTTAGGCTGAGAGGTATGTGACTGCCCCAAGGTCATCCAACAAACCGCTAAGACAGAGTAGGCATTTGAACCTGGTTCTCCCAAATCCTAATGGATACTGTAACCACTTAACCACACTATATAGGTCCCAGGAAATAGGAACTTTCCCAGGTAAATGGGACCATTAGGTGTGAATGTAGTTACTTCATGGACTGCATCCTGCTCAGGAGCCCCTGGTGCAGGATATTGCAAAAACCGGCCTTTTGGCCCACTGGATCCTTTCTAATCCATCTAGTAATATATGGCACTTTGTGTATGCTGGAACATGGCATGTTAATGCTTGAGGTCTTTTTGATCAAATAATAGCAGTTCCCTCTCCTCCCACCCACCCCGACCTTTGCCATTTTCTCCTTCAGCGGACTGTGTGTCACAGACTGTCAAAGGCCATGGTATCAGAGGACTTTACCGAGGTCTCAGCTCGTTGGTCTATGGCTCCATACCGAAGGCCGCCGTGAGGTAATAGCTGTTCACTTTTAACTTTTGATCTCCTGTGGGGGAGAAAATATGAGCCTGTTTTGATTATGAAGATTCTCAATTTTGTTTTGTGCTCCATGGTTGTTGGTTTTTCCCCGGAAGATGGGTAGCCATATTAGCTGAAGAAAAGAGTAGGAGTCCAGTAGCACCTTAAAGACTAACAACATTTGTGGTGGAGTATCACTGCTCACTTCTTCAGAAGTTTTTTTTTAAGTAGCCTAAAATTATAACCAAATGGATGGATTGCTTTCTGTGTTTGTGCCTCGCCACTCACTCTAGCACGATGGGATTGGCATCCAGGATTTAAGGGTGTTTCGTTGACATTTTTGTGGGGGTTTTTTTTGGTATTAACTTTTTCACTGTCTCAGAAACTTGGTTCTCTTTAGCAGTGTGCATATGTGTAAAGCAAATTAACATGACACTTGTCATCTTTGGGGGAAGAATATTTGTTTCATGGTCCGCTCTTCTTCCTCTGTCAGGTTTGGCATGTTTGAATTCCTCAGCAACCAAATGAGAGATTCACAAGGGAAGCTGGATAGCACACGTGGCCTCCTTGCCGGCCTGGGGGCTGGTGTGGCTGAAGCAGTGGTGGTCGTGTGCCCCATGGAAACTGTTAAGGTAATCAAGGGCTGGGAGAAGAGTGTAATTTTCTGGCTCTCAGTTTGAGAATTCAAAAATAAAGGTTCTGATTCAAACCACATATGATGATGGGGATCTATGATCAAATCTCCTGACATGTAATTTAACAGGAAGAAGGAAAGGAATAGCAAAGGGCTATGGTAATGGAGGAGGGGGGCTTAATGAGCTCCCAGAAGAGACCAGGGCCCTGCGGGACCTTTTACAGTTCCACAGGGCCTGCAAGATGGAGCTCTTCCACCAGGCCTTTGACTAAGGAGCCACCTCCACCATCGCCACCACCAGCTTCATCATTAAAGAGGCAGCCGAGGCAGATCGAGAACTGATTAATAAAGAAACAGCTGCCATCCCTGATGTATTCGTTTACAACTAGCTAGCACTTTTATGTTTCGAATTATTTTTAGATGGTTCTATCTATGTCGTAATTGTTTTTATGTATTCTTGTAAGCCACCCTGAGCCTGCTCCAGCAGGGAGGGAGGGATATGAATCAAATAAACCAATAAATAAACTAAATCCCCCCCCCAAATACAACCTGTTCTTCCTCTGAAACTGCTGTTCCTCCTGGGTGGGGCATCGTGGGGAGGTGACTTCTGCAGAGATATCCCCGTTAGGTGAGGAGCTTGACAGAACTTGTGCCATGTGCTGCTTTTTGTGTATATTGTTACAGGTGTGTCAAAGGGCAGTGAAGGGTTGGAGGCTTAAAAGAACTGCTTTGCCTGCTCGGACCAGTCTGTCTCCAGCAGTGGACAGACAGAGGTGTTAGAGAGCTCACAACCAGGACATGATGGGAAGAGCCTTCCCTGATTGTCCTGCAGATAGTGGAGCAGATCTAGTCATCTTCCAGGTAGCCTTCCTCCAGCCTAAGGAGACTTCCCCCAATCTCAGTGGTTCTTCCTCCAGCGGAAGAGCTGCTTAAGTTGGAAGAAGGCGTCCTACTTGAGCCGAAAGTTAAGGTGAAATATAAATATTTAAATAAGCAAATAAACTTTGTTCAGTGAACTGGTAGTATAGGGGTAGGATCTGTCCCATTACTCTCTCTCTCTCTGTGTCTGAACACAGATTCAGTTTTTAGCTATGGTCGCTAGTAGCCCTTAAAGGACCTGTCTTTCAAGAATGACCCAGCATACTTTGCTAGGCTTTTGTATTTCTCTGTGAGATCTATCTGTATTGAGCTGGACCATTGGTCCGTCTAGCACAGTATTATCCACTGTGATGCACAGCAGTTTTCCCAGGACTCAAGCAGAGAAGGGTCTTTCCTAACACCTGTTAAGTGGAAACAGCAGGGACTGAACCTGGATCTTTCTTAATACTCTACCACTGGACTCTGCCCAAGGTAGAGGCAGTGTGGTATTTTGATGGCTGTTGATCGTGAATGACGAAAAGGGTTCTGGTGTCCTCTTTGCAGGTGAAGTTTATCCATGACCAATGCTCACCAAAGCCAAAGTATCGAGGTTTCTTCCATGGAGTGAGAGAGATAGTTCGGGAACAAGGTGAGGCCTGGGAATTGCTAGATTTGGTGCAACACTGCCCCTAGTGGCTGCCTCATTTAAAGGAGAATAGATCCTTCTGCTTTCCAAATGATTCGTGAAACAAAATGGGACTGTCCTTTTACCAGCTCACCGGGAGGCGAAGCAGAGCAGCCCCTTCAAATCCCCAAAGTTTTGTTCTCCTGAAGCCTCTGTGTGGTCTTTGTTGGGATCTTGGAGGGTGTGGGGGATTGGGTTGTTATTTTTGAGTTGCCTCAGATCTGTTGGGCCACTAAAGTTGCCTACATATTTATTATATTTATTTTTTTAAATGCCTGTGCCACCTCTCCACACAGTTCAGGCTCCCCAACACAGCATCTGACTTTATGACATTAACCCAACAGACAGGCGCTTCCAGAATAAATCAACATGGATGTTAGCACAACAGTTCAGGGTGCGAATGGCTAACCACTTAGGTGTATGGCACCTTTTTATTTCTGTCACAGAGCAGTTGTAAGTTGAACTTATTTATTTACTTTATAGTCCCTCTTTTCCTCTGGGACTCCAGGTGGATTTCACAATGTTAATTGATGCAGTCAATAGGATGAGAGTTCTAATAAGCAATGTTAACAGGACTGGGGCTGCAGAAATGTCAAACAAAGCACAAATAAGATGTAGAAGATGTCAATTTGGACCCATCTCTGGGACTGCACATTTTTGTTTATGGTATAGCCAGAGAGGCAAAGTTGACTTTCTGATGTATGTAAAGAACACACACTAGGAACAGACTATGTCCCCCCCCCAGGTTAGGATTGATATCTGTGTGAAAAAACAGTCTTCTGCCAGAAAAGTCATTAAGTTTCTCTTTTTTCCTTTTCTGCTGCAGGCTTGAAGGGAACATACCAAGGCTTAACAGCCACTGTCCTAAAACAGGGATCAAACCAGGCTATCCGCTTTTATGTAATGACGGCACTCAGGAATTGGTACAAAGGTATTTGGCCCATCTGTAATCGCATCCATTCCCAGCATGCTCTGCTTTCCTTCTGACAGGTGCTCTCCACATGATGCTATAGGCTGAAATCCATGATGCTATCGGATGAAATACATCAAAGGGAAGGAAGAAGAAATCACTTTAAATTTGCATGAGTGGAACTTTTGGTTTTCTTTACATAACATTCACAGATGCCCCTGGTTTTGTGGAGGGTGATTTAAAAAAAAAGAATGAGGGGAAAGGGTTTTACCCTAGACAGTGGACCCTGTGTGGAAGAATATTTAATTTTACAGTGTGCTTCACATAAATTTGCTTGTTACTTACAACAGCCTTGTAAAGCAGGCCAATTTTATTTTCCTCATATAGTGGAGCCTGCATCAGGGGGGTGGGGGAAAGGAGTGTGGCAGAGGTGACGTAAACTGGGGACTTCCCAGATCTCAGCTAATTCTGTTAGCCCCAGTGAGTACCCCAGCTCCTAACCCTGGTGTAGAGGTTGGTGTCTGATAAGTTCTGGAAAGACCCATGTCTAAATCTCTGCTGGGTGGCCTTGGAACAATCACCCTCATTCAGACTAACCAACCTTGAAGGACTGTAGTGAAGATAAAATATAAAATATAGGCAAGAACATGCTTTCCTGAGTTCCTTGGAGGGAGCATGAGATTAAAATGTAATCAATGGCAATGTTGCCTGCGCTTCTGTGGCTAGAGGCCCTAAAGCCACCGAAGTGATCTGCAGCTGTATGGTAACTGATTTCACACCGGGTGTTTATGGAGCAGAACAGCTCAGCCACTGGTCTCATGAGGATGAATTAAGAGGGCCAGGACAGGCTGTTTGTGATGTCAGAGAAGGTTGGCCAATGGCATTAAAGGAGGCAGGAAAAGCAAACGGGGGGGGGGGTGCAGGACTGTTTGGGTGTGCTGGTAATGTTGCAGCCAGTCTTAGCAATGGTCTCTTAGTTGATACGAACTAGAAGGGGCCCTCACCTCGGTAGCCCAGGCTAGCCTGATCTCATCCAGTCTCGGAAGCTAAGCAGGATTGGCCCTGGCTAGCATTTAGATGGGAGACCACCAGGGAAGTCCAGAGTCATGATGCAGAGGCAGGCCAAGGGCAAGCTCTTGTTGCCTTTTCCGCCTACCCTGTGGTGTCTCCGAGTTCTAGCTGCCAAACCAAGGCACGTATTTGTGTGTGTCGTTGGGTTAGTCCTAATACAAAAGTATTATATGGAATTGTCTTTTTAAGAAGCATAGCCTTATTTGAAGCCAAGCCACTAGGTGGTGGTGTCCACCTACCTTTGCATTTTCCCCATCCTCACAGCGGTACAGTATATTGCAGTCAGTGCAAAACTCTTGATCTCTCTGAAGTATACTCATCTGCTCTCGTTTTGATTTTAACTACCAGCTTTGGGGGACATGCTGCTTAAAAACAAGTCGGCTTCCTAAAGTCAACCCCCCACTGTTAAGGAAAGCAAGTCCTTTGGATGTTTATTTAAAATGCAAAAAAAAAAAAAGCAGAAAAACATGCTATCCATTATCTTTTTACCATGCTGTTCTTCACCTCTTTTGTTGCTGTGTTTTTATATCACACTGTCAGTAATCAAGTTGCTGGCAAGCTGGGACGCAAGGGTAGAGTACTTGCTTTGCATGCAGAAAGTCCCTGGTCTGCTCCCCATCATCTCCTGTTAAAAATATCAGATTGGGGGGGTGGGTTTCCATGCCTGAGCCTCTGGAGGGTGGCCACTGTCTGGAGCAGACAATGCTGAGCTTTAGTGGTCCAGTGTGTTGATTCAGTAAAAGGCATATTTGCCTACTGAGAGAGGTTGTGGCTGAGTGATGGGACACCTGCTTTCAGGCAGCAGGTTCTAGATTTCATGCCGAAGATCCCCTGCTCATACCAAGTTAATGGCCTAAGGACTGGAGTACTGCTGCCAAAGTAGACAGTACAGTAATAGGAGGACCAGTGGTCAGACTTGCTGTCCTTCTAGTGGCAGAGGTGTCACTCTACACCCAAAGAGTGATCTACACTTGGAATTCACTGCCACAGGAAGCGGTGGCGGCTACAAGCATGGACGGCTTCAAAAGGGAATTAGATAAGCATATGGGGCAGAGGTCCATCAGTGGCTATTAGCCACAAGGTACAGATAGGGACTCTGGGGCAAGTGATGTTCTGTCATCTTGGTGCTTGGGGGGGTCAACAGTGGGAGGGCTTCTAATGTCCTGGCCCCACTGGTGGACCTCCTGATGGCACCTGGTATTTCTGGCCACTGTGTGATACAGAGTGTTGGACTGGATGGGCCTCTGGCCTGATCCAACATTGGCGTCTCTTATGTTCTTATGTTCTATAGAATCTTTATTCCCCATTTTTTGTCTTCAGAGAGGGACCCAAAGGAGCTTATAACAGTACAAAAAAGTACAGGAAGTGGTAAATTATGTCTTGAGCTAGACCTGGAGCCAGTGGGTCAGTTTGTCCAAGAGCTAAGAGCCCTTTGGCTCTAGCCCATCATCTCGTAGCTCTGGCCAGGCACGAACTTTGTACCTGGGAGCAGGAAGAGAGATCAGAAGGAACAGCTCAGATGGTGCAGCTGGCAGCAGTGCTCTTCCTGTTATAAAGTGTTGCTAAATATTGAGGTGGAAGAGCTGGCAGGAGCATTAACTGCTAGAGCAGTCTGCTAAATTAAATGGTAGCCAAGCTGTGGTTTGGGGCGAGAAGACTGAAGTGGCAAAAAGCCAGCAAAGATGGGGCAAGTCAATAGGTAGGATCTCCTTGGTCTGAGCTGGCTAAAGGCTAGAGTGTTGTGAATGGGAGCAAACTAAGCTAGGGAGTAGGAGAGCAGATCTACCTGGGCCAAGAGTCGATCTGGAAATGCTTTTACAATTATTGGAAGCCCTGCTGGCTCTATCATGGCCCCTGTTGACGAGAAGGGTAGAGTCTGTTTCTGAGCCTTCACGGGGCAAATTGCTGCCATGGAATGCTTTTCCTGGCTAACAGTGCCTTGGCTCCGATTCGTGCCTGGGTTTTTACAAGTAAGCCCAGTTCCCATTTCAAGACTGGCTGTTCTGATACCTTTCTTCTTTTTTTTAATGTACCTCCTCAAGGTGATGATCCCAACAAAGTGTTGAACCCTCTGGTCACTGGGGCATTCGGGGCTCTTGCCGGAGCTGCCAGTGTGTTCGGCAACACCCCGTTGGATGTCGTGAAGACCAGGATGCAGGTACATCAAAGTCTCTTGGCCAGTATTGTGTTTTAAAGAGGGGGTGTCGCTTTGTCCAGAACAGTGGTTCTTGATCTTTGATCTGCAACCAGACTCCGAGAACACAGCATTATAGCTGATAGCCTCTATCTATCAAGTCACAAGAAAAATATTAGGATACAGCAAGAGGACTTTATGGCAACTTTATATATGTATGTATGTATGTAAACTCTGAAATCTGCGTATTTTATGCATATATGTTGTGCCCCAGTGGCTATCAGTGCACTCCTTGACGTTTCCCCCCCTAGCTGTTGTGTGCCACCTTTTTAAAAGCCTGGGGGAGAAACCTGACACTTTAATCCTTACAATTGGGTGAGCAGTATAAAATGACTCCCTTCCATTGGCTGTCAGAAGCTAGTGGAATAAAGGGGCTGTCTAATGTCCTTGCAAGGTGACATATTGTGACTGTGGACATAAGTTATTTATTGAACAGCATGCATAATTGTGAAGTTCTTGCCCTCAAGTATAAAGCCTTAGGCTAGTCCCTGCCAGTTCTAGAAAACAGAGACTTGCAAAAATCTGTCAAAATGCAACAATTTGCTTTACTTTTTACCTTGGTGCTACTTCAGTTTTCTGAGATTTTTTTGCCATCTTATTTTTAAGATATACTAGTACGATTGAGTTCTAGAGACTCCTTTTACCCATAATCTCCTCCCCCTCCCATTCCTATACATTTTGCAACTTTCTATTTCAGCCTGTTCGTCCCACATTCTAGTACCCAGGCATAACTCCCACATCTGTGTTTTGTGCCAGAACTCAGCCCTGTGACCAGTAATTTTTTTTTAGCAGAGTGTATTATTGAGGGTATGCAGAAAGTCTTTCCCCCACTATAAGGAAACCTCCCTTGGTGTCAGAGACTGTCACGTCAACTATAGCCCATCACTAGGTGTCCTTATTAGCATCCTTTTCTTTTTAATATGGTGAGTTCCTCATTGAAGAGGAGCTAACCTTTTCTCTTGGTTTGGCCAGTCATTGCCCATGGCCCCTGTCAATCCTTCCCCACTGGCTGTTTGTCTGAAATGGGCTATGGACTGCAGAAAACAAAGGGGGGAAAAAAGATCTGCCAGACAGGTGTATGTGTGTAACCTCTTCCTCTCCTTGTAGGGTCTTGAAGCGCACAAATACAAGAGCACTTGGGACTGTGCCTACCAGATCATGAAATATGAAGGACCCTTAGCGTGAGTTTGTTTATTTATCTAACAAATTTATACCCTGCCCTCCCAGCCAAGGCCGGCTCAGGGCGGCTTACATAAAAATAAAAACACATAAATAACAGTCTCAGGGCTCTTTTTGTAGAAAAAACCCAGCAGGAACTCATTAGCATAATAGGCCACACCCAACAGCAGGAACTCATTAGCATATTGGGCCACACCCCCGACAGCACAGCTCATGAGCACATTAGGCCGCACTGCCATGTTACCAGAAGTGTGGTCATCCAGCCACACCCACCTTTTGCTTGTTATTCTGTTTACCTTGTTTGTTGTCAAAACCCAGGGCTTTTTTTGAAGCAGGAACTCCTTTGCATGTTAGGCCACACACCCCTAATATAGCCAATCCTAATGAGTTTCTGCTCTTGGGTGTGGCCTATTATGCTAATGAGTTCCTGCTGGGCGTGGTCAACTTGGGAGCCAGCCGGAACTCCGTTCCTGTGCGTTCCTGCCCAAAAATAGCCCTGACAGTCATAAACAATCCTAAAACCTTCTAAAACATTCCAGCATTATAAAGTGCTAGTAAACATTAATAATCTTGTTTAGTGATGACGGCCACCATTCATTGATCTGTCCTAATAATCGGCTCATAGATCTTTTCCTTTATGCAGCTGGCACAGGCTGTTGTTAGTGGTTCCAAGGAACAGGGTTCTCTGCCTTTCAACTATTGGGGGCAGCTCCTTGATTGAAGGCCTGGTGGAAGAGCTCCGTCTTGCAGACCCTGTGGAACTGCATAAGGTCCCGCAGGGCCCTGATCTCTTCTGGGATCTTGTTCCACCAGAACGGAGCCACCACTGAGAAAGCCCTGGCCCTAGTTATGGCCAGCCTGGCATCCTTGAGACCTGGCAGGGCCAGTTGATTTTGGGACCCTGATCGCAGTGCTCTCTGGGGAACGTGTTCTGCCATTAGAGGGACTGATGCCCAGCTGCAGCATCACCTCACTTCAGTGGAAGTGATATGGTGTAGCTCTAGGAATCACTGGAAATTCTGTGGTAAAACCATAGAGATTCCAGTGATTCCTAGAGCTCCCCGATGTGGTTTTACCAGAAGTGATCTGATGCAGCAGCTGGTGTTGCAGGGTTTTGTTTTTAATTCTCCCACCATCTCTCTCTTAGTGGCAGTGGGCAACAGAAGCAGGGATTCCCTGCCCTGACTAAAGGCTTGTCACCTCACTGGGTCCAGTCCCCTTCAAAAACACTCTCTGGAGAACCTCTAATGGAGGAGGTGGATTGGGTTTCCTAGAGCAAGGAATTCCAAAAGCCTTACCTTATTCAAGAGAGGCACACAGGGAAGAATAGCACCCAGTGATCTTAGACCACAGGCGGGTTCATATGGGTGGTCTCTTATACCTCAGGATCAAAACAGTCCGAAGGAGCCTTCCTTGCGCTGGAGGAAGGCCTGGTGAAATGGATTCACAGGATCGAACCCCTTGTTCTCAAAGGGGCATAGAATCATTGTGAAGCAGTCCAAACCCAAAGACCGCTTGCTTTCCTTTTTACCATGATGAGAAACATGGAAATAATGTTTTGACTGGACAGAATCCTGAGAATTGTAACTTTAGTCACTCATCTTGTGAACTTTAAATGTGGTGCTCCTTTTAATGAATGGCTGATGGGACTGGGCCACAGAGACGTTAGTTATGATTACTATCTGCGTGTACCTGCCAGACAGAGGTCTGCCCCACGGTCTGTTCCTATGTCCACAATAAGTTCTTGGATCACAACTCCTGAATGGACCTGATGTTTGTTTCAGCTCCCAGGACTACTGCAGCCTAACTTGGATTTTGTGACCTGTCTGTTTACCTCTTTCCTTTACCGTCACCCCCTTGCAGGTTTTACAAGGGCACTGTCCCCCGTCTGGGCCGGGTGTGCTTAGATGTGGCCATCGTGTTCATCATCTACGACGAAGTGGTCAAAGCACTCAACAAGGTGTGGAAAACTGACTGAAACGGACACGGTGGGAACCAGTGGTGCTGTCTCCGCACCTGCCAGGCAACAGCTGGGAGAAAAAAAAGATGTGACCAACCTCCAAGGGCATTGTAGGGGCGTCTCTGTGTGAGTGCGCCTGGAATGCATCTGAGCTTCCTTCCTATGCTGCGAACAGGACACTAATCCAGTCCCCAAACAGCTGCTTCCATATCAAGCTTTCTGACTCTTATTTATCAGAAGGAACTTTGGAGAATTTTAAATTATTGATTGTGGGGTGATGTGACAATAGAAAATGGGGTGGGAAGGGAGATGGAATGGCGGGGGGGGGGAAGCAAGCCTAGCTACTGTCTGCAACCAAGACCATCTCTGCAATCTGGGGTAGTGGGGAGAGGATTTGTCTTGGTGCCCATGAGAAAGGGAGAAAAGAAACATTCCTCCTCCTCCTCCTCACCCCCACATGCTAGAGGTGCAGTTCAAGCCAAGTTGCCTTTTACAAAAATGTACTAATTTAGGGTGTGGGTTTGGGTTTTCTTTGCCCGTGTTGTGGTTCTGTGCCTTTCCCATTGAAGGGCACCATAAAGATCCAGTGTTGGAGCTATAGCTGGGGAGAACCCTACAGAAATAGCATGGGGACTCTCAGCTATTCCAGTCCTATAATTTGCCAGCAGTGGGTCTTTAGGGATTGCCGTTGACTAGCTTACTAAGGGAGCCATCCCAGTGAAGCCCTAAGGGCTGGGGGGGGGGAATTGAATGCCTTGTTCCATCACCCATAGTTTTGAACTTTGCACATATCAGGAACTGTGGGTGTGGGCAGAGAGAATGCCTGGAGACTTTTGACAGAACAGAAATGTAATTCATTCCATAAGTCCTCCTCCCAACAGCTTCTCTCAGCAGCTGATCCTTCGTGACCCTCAGTCAGAAGTGGGCATCTTAGGCCCAAGCTAGATATGACGACGGGAGATCAGGTGGAGGTTCTCCTTAGGTTTTCACGAGTAGGCTAAAGTAGGGGCTGGGGGAAGGAGTGGCTTCCCTTCGTGCTGTTTTCACAATCTTTAATTCCCACCCCCTCCCCACCGGCTGTTTGGTCCCGGAGGGATCTTGCGGAGGCGTTCCATGGCATATATTTGTGCTTCCCATGGGGTGGAGAGCAGATGAGGCTGAGCAGATGTGGTATGTAAACGGATGGAGAGGAAAGGCCTAGTCACCTTTCTGCCATGCCAGAGCCTCAATCGGACCCCAACCCCACTCAGTCGTTTACAGAGGTGTAATTTTTTTTTAAGAGTAAGAGATAAGAGACCTAATACTAGATCTCCCATTTTGACATTTAGCTTGGCCTTTTAAGTTTCAGGCGTCTGACCTGTGTGTGTGCTTGCTGGCTCAAGAACACACGGAGACGTTCTGCGTAGAGGCCCCTATTCTGGGCATAGGCGGTGGGGAGGCAGTTGTCTGCCACTGGCATCCTTTTAACCCGTCAGGTCACATCTGATTCTTAGGGACGCCTCTCATCTTAAAGCTGACATCTTTTTGTTGTTTAGTGTCCAGTGACAGATTGACAGGGCGCCCCTCTTCCGTGGCCCTTTTAAAAATTTCCCTCCCTTATTTCTGAGGCAAGTTAAATCCCTGCCCACAGTGAGCTCAGTCCATAATTAGCTTGTTTACAGTGAGAGTTGAGGCAAGGCTGAATGGAAAGACGGAGCAGCTGGCAATGTGGTTTTTACCCCTTAGAATCAGCTTCATGATACACTGGGCAGCCAAGTCCTCCCCAGTGAAATGATTTCTTCTTTTTAAATGGTGTGTTGCTGTCTTATTGGATTCCTTTGTTTTGAGGGTCATAACAAGTCCCCTGAGAACAAGTTTGGGCAAACACGATGCCCACACCCCACTCTCTGTCCAGGTGCCAAGGGATATTGCAATGATTCCATGACCAATTTGTGCCAAATCTTTTATGTCCATGTCTGGTATATTTGTGGTGGTGGTGGTTTCCCTCCCTTGTGTTGTTATGCACTGTAATTAAGTGCAGCCTGTTGTAGGAGGAAGACAGAACGGGGGGGAAATCTGCTCTTTTGCCACAATTGAGATAGAATCACAAAATGAATAAAAATGATATGATGAACTTCTGAAAGTGTTGGACTTTAAACCAGGATATGAAACACTTGAAGATTTCAGCTTTGGTGTGTATCCAACCACATGTGCATATTGGCTATAAACAGTCTTATTTCCTGGAATATTTCACAGAAATCAGGCCGTTTGGCTCCGTCCCTGTAATCTCTTACACCCACTTGGCTTATTGTAGGGTGGTCTTCCTGCCATAGGTAGGTATTTGCAGTTGCACAGTACCCTACCACCTTTCCAGTTTTGATAATGTGGCAAGCTGTGGCAGATGGTTAGGTTTTGCTGCTCATGTTTTACCAGCCAGGGATTTATTTGTCTTTCACTGCACTGGCAGACCAACAGTACAACAGTACAATGGCTCTCCTGGGATTTCTAGTCTTTTCCAAAATCGAGCTGTCCGATGAAGATGCCGCTAATAAAACCAAAGTTGCCTGTTCACTTAAGCCTCTTTGCTGTTTTGCTGAATTTCAAACCCTCAGTCGGCCTCCTGCTGCAAGAAAGAATTTCCAGGACATGTAAATCCACCAAGAAGAGGGAAGAACTTGTGTCTCCTGGATGTTTCTGTATAAAAATGCACTCCTTCAACACAAAGTGACCTGAGCCTTAAAGAGTCGCAGTCAGTAATGGGAGATGGACTGCAACTCTATGGTAGATTGCCTCTCTGGCTTCTCCAGCTACAAGGATTGTGGGTAGTTGGTATTTGGAGTCTTGGGGTGAGGCGCTGCCAGTCAGAATAAGCAATATTGAGCTAGGCAGACTAAAGGTCCAGACAGAAGGCAGCTTCATATAATCTGGAGTGATGGTGAACTCAATTCCCAAGCTTTGTGGGGCTTACTTCCTGAAAAATACACTTAGTGTGCTTAATTGTACTGTGGATATGGCTCAGTGGTAGAGTGCATCTTTTGCCCATAGAAGGTTCTGCTTCTGGTCTCTCTAGTTAATGGGTCTCAGCAGGTGTCCAGAAAGACCTTTCGCTATGCACCAGGATAGTTACAGCCAACTCAACATCCCTGAGCTATAGTAGTATCTGTTTTTAAGTTTATCTAACACATCTGCTTGTTTTCACCTGCACCTTTATTAATAGCGTTTAAACACTGGTGCAAATCGAAGTTTGGGGTTCATTCTCTTCCTCCACCTGTAATTTGAGTCCTGTTTTTATTCTGGAGTTACCGTAGTGCTTAATGTTCAAAGTGGAGAATGTAAAGACCCCGAACATTCAGCGTACAATAGGACCCTCTTAGCCAGCCTATCCTGGAACTTGCTGATTAAGCAGCTCAATGACCTGTCTGTCGGAAGCTCAGGCAGGGGGTGGGTTGCTTTCACGTTGAGAGGTCTGAAATCCCCTAAAGCCACAACAAGGGTTGCTGTCTGTCCAAGAGTTTCCTAAGCAGTTCGGGAATGTCATAAAAATGAATTTTGCTCTTATGACCTTCTGGAATAAAGACTCACATATTGCTCCTTTAGAATAAAAAGCTTAATATGCCACCCACTGGCCACAGTTCATACCCAGCCTTTCCTTTCCAATCATAAAATCCCTTCTTGGAGCAGGTTTTGGACAGAATTTGGTGTAGTGGTTAGGAGTGCAGACTCTAATCTGGGAGAACTGGGTTTGATTCCCCACTCCTCCACATGCAGCTGCTGGTGTGACCTTGGGTCAGTCATAAGTTCCCTCAGAGCTGTTCTCTCAAGGACAGTTCTCAGGAGAGCTCTCTCAGCCCCACCTACCTCACAGGGTGTCTGTTGTGGGGAGGGGAAGGGAAAGGGATTGTAAGCCGCTCTGAGACTCCTTCGGGTAGTGAAGGGCAGAGTATAAATCCAATCTCTTCTTTTTCTACCATTGACTCTTCCACTGAGAGCCAGTTTGGTGTAGTGGTTAAGTGTCTGGACTCTAATCTGGAAGAACCGGGTTGGATTCCCCACTCCTCCACTTGCACCTGCTGATGTGACCTTGGGTCAGTCACAAGCTCTGGCACAGCTGTCCTTGAAAAAGAGCAGTTTGTGTTCTCTCAGCCCCACCCACCTCACAGGGTGTCTGTTGTGAGGAGGGGAAGGGAAAGGAGTTTGTAAGCCGCTCTGAGACTCCAAGTGAAGGGCGGGGTATAAATCCAATCTCCCCCTCCTCCTCCTCCACTGTCCTTTCTCCAAGGAGTGCAAGGCAAAGCCATAAGATTATCCATTTTTCTATCCTCACAACAACCCTGAAGCAGCTGTTAGTTAGCAATAAGCATGTGCTGGAGAAGCATTTGTCCATCTGATTTAGTTTGATATCCATACACCTCCACTGAAAACCTCTGGACACTTCCTGTCCTCTCACACTTAGTGTCTTGTCACAGCAAAGGGCCATCCCACCCAAGGACCCCTCCCTCCCCTTCCAGCCCTGGAGGAGGCAAGGACCTTAACTGGCGGCTACCACTGCGGTTCTAGGGCTTTACTGGAGAGGGCCCAGGGCACCCTCCCTCTCCCCCGGGCAGCTCTCTTCAGTCAGGCCATGCCCTGATATGTGGCAGAATATTGAGGCACAGAGGACCCCAGAAGAGTGAACAAGAAACAGTTTATTAAACATATACTATAACAATTAATAAAAATGGCAGAATGAATACAGGGACACAACAACTACACAGGGCAAAACACACAGAAGGAAGCTGGCTAGAAAGCATGTAACATTGCCAAGTCCCTCCTGGCCACAGGTGGGAGGTGTTGGTGGGGTCCCAACTCCAGGTTGGGAAACTCCTGGGAGTTTGGGGATGGAGCCCGGGGAGGATAGGGACATACAGTCCACCACCAAAACTTTCATTTTATCCAGGGGAATGGATCTCTAGTCTGGAGATCAGCTGTAATTCCAGGGGATCCCCAGGTCCCCCCTGGAGGCTGGCATCCCTAATGAAGGAACCAAGCTCCCTCATATTACTGCCTTAGTTTTTATTTGTGCCTCAGTACGTGATCCCAATATGCCAGACTCATCCCCATCACAAGGCAAGGGATCACATCCATCCAAAAGCAAATCCTGATGCTTGGGGGTGTCTGGGAAATGTTGGTTTGTGAGGAAACTGGCAGCCAGGCCTGAGGCCTGTGTGTCACATTGCCTACTCTGGGTTGGGAAATTTCCGGAGATTTGGGGGTGGGGTCTGAGGGAGGTCTTCAGTGGGGCCTAATGCCATTAGCACAATGATTTATTTATTTAGGCATTTTTATCCCGCCCTCCCCGCAAGCGGGCTCAGGGCGGCTTACAAAGGGGCAAGAGCCCATGCATAAAACCCAGTAAAACAGTAAAATGATAATAGTAACAATAATAACAGTAATAACAATAATAAAGTGCTTTCAGTAGACAAGATGGTCTTGAGTGTTATGGTAGCATCTTCCAGTCAGCTCCATTGGAGTACCACTGTCCAGTAGATCGCTCCAATCCCACGTTGTTAATGCCGCACAATGTATGGCTGAGCTTCCCAGGGCGATCCCGAATCCCAATGGTATTGCCACCATTGTTGGTGGTGGCAGCGGCGGCCCCTATATGAAAGCCTGGTGGAAGAGCTCCGTCTTGCAGGCCCTGCGGAACTGCATCTGGTCAAGCCAGAGGTTACATCAGTGCATCAGTACACTGGCCATCACTCCCGCCCCATTTCCCCCATTTTTCTCCTACTGCCCAGCTGATCGGTGGCAGGAAGGGCTCCTGTTTCCATTGGGAAAATGGTAACCCTACTTCTAACCCATGTTCTATAACAATATGTTATATCGGTATCAGAGTTTCTATGAGACTTCAGGTTCAGGCCTCTAGCTCTTACTCACTACAGGTGGGGGAGCCACGAAAGTCAGTCACTTGCCTGATGAGTGTCAGAAGTTTGCTGACCTTTTTTTGGCTCCCTTGAACTCCTGTGATACCTGTATAACCTCTGCTCGTGTGAGTTCTGTGAGGCTAAACTGGGAACAGATCTTGCAAGACAGCATCAGTTAAATCAAATGTCTTTAAATAAAAAACCTCTGACATACAGAACAATACAAGATTTCTAGCTAAACCCATCGGAGTGACAGGTAACGGAAACATGCAACAGGTAGGGTCTTTGAATTCAGTTAAGCAACTGGCTGTTGCTCGATGCCGCTTTTGGGTGAGCAAAGTCCAACTTTTCTGGTCCTCCGAGTGCCAGAGTCTTGCAATGCAGTTGTCTTGCAAAAAGGAACAAACTGAACACCACGGAAACCGGGCTTGAGCTTTCAAGCTTGAAAAATACAATACAATATAATATACAATACAATAGCCCTGCAATATAATATACAATATAATAGCCCTACAAGAACAATATACTAGTCACACTAAATCTACCCTCCCATTAACATTTCACATACATAGATTTCAGTTACCTTATACAAGGTGATAGGAGTCCAGAATTTTATACAGCTCTCTAGCAAACAGACCTTCCTTGCGCTGCTAGCCTCAGTCCACGGACTCTGCCCCCACTGGGCTAAACCATCTAGTTCCTGGGGATGGGGTTACGCCTACAAGGAGTTTACCTTGCCAGCGGATTCTCTCAGCCTTCTTTGCTTTGGAGAGAATGGGATTAGGCCTCCGATTCAAACTGCTGGTAGCTGCAGCAGTGTAGAAATATCAGAGCAAGAAGGTAAAAGAAACTACCAGATGACTGGAAAGTCTTATGTGGCTGCGGTCACACGGAGCATTAGCCACACTACAGAGACGGAAGATAGGTGGATTTTCCGGGCGCAATCAAACCGCAACATCTGGGAAGGGTAGAGCTCCCATGGCGAACCCGAGGCTTCCCACTGAAGATGCGCCGTAAAAAACTAGTACCTCCGAGGTACTAGTTTCCGGAAACCACGGGTCAAGGGTGGGCGTCTGATCACGTTTCCGGTGGTAGCGCGTGGCATCCGGCGCCCGCCCATGTCCCGTCACGAAAAGGTTTTTTCCCCCCAAGTCTCCACGGGATGCGCACAAGCACCCAACGGCTCATGCGCACACTTCGGTTAAAAAAAACACAACACCCACCACGCCGCTTCTTTGCCACGCCACAGGATTTACGTATGATCGGCACCTCCCCCCGAACCATGGGATGTCGGCAGGACGTTTGATCCGGTGGCCGCGCAGTAGTTCGCTCCGGGGCAAACAGCCACGCCTCCCCTCCACAATATCCGGCCCGTGTGACCGGGGCCTGAGTGTATCAACTTATCAGTCCCTTCTTGTACCAGGTATTCCAACTAATGCCATTGCAGTAAAAATGCCAGTATTGACTCAGCTTAGATCAGGGGTATCGAACTCATTTGTTATGAGGGCCGGATATGACATAAATGAGACCTTGTTAGGCCGGGCCATGTGTGTCATGAAATGTAATGCCAGGTAGTGGAGATATAAACTTTATAAAGAACACAAACACAAAGGTTTTTTTTTACTTAAAATAAAAACATGCTTAAAACATTAGCACTCTTGCAATATTTTGTTTATTTAACGGTGTCTGATAACTGACACCTCTTGCTCTGAATTAGTGCATCGAATGTCTGTGCTGTTGCAATCTTGAATATGCTGTTCAGGTGTGTATCTGTAAGCTGCAAACCTATGATGACGCAGCAGCAGCAGAAGAACTGGAAGAAGAAGCAGAAGACAGCTAGTTTCACTGCAGGCCTGATAGAAACCCTCCAGGGGCCTCATCCAGCCACCAGGCTGCATGTTTGACACCCGTGGCTTAGATAAACCATGAAACCGTGGCTTGAGAATCTGACTTTGGTTAGTATGATCACCTGAACATGAGTAACTCAGCTCATTATGGATAGTTATATGATGACATGCCAAGAACATGGGATGGATCCTGTGATCTGTCAGGGGAGGGTGTTGATGGTCAAGGATCCTCCTCTACTTTCCCATCGTTCCTCAATAGCTGTTTCTGACTCCAGGAAAGTTGATTTACTGGAGTCATGGCACCCATGTGGATCAATATGGGCAAAATCGCCCTTCCTGCCTCTTCTGTTGGCAAAGCTATACTGACAAGAATTTAAATCCATATCTCCCAGATCTTCAGCTGACACCTTAACCACGACACCAGAGGTCCCCAGCGTGGTGCCCGTGGGATGCCATAGAGCCCACCAACACCTTTCTTGGCACCTGCCAAGTGTTTTTAGAAAGGGGGGGGCAGGGTTTTTTGCACAGCAGACTTCTATTGGAGATTTGATTGGCTGTGCTGATTTTTTTTTTTTAATTGCTTTGGCAGCAGCTGTTCCCACAGCACAAGGATCTTCACTGTGTGACTGAAGGTAAGTGGTGGCAGCCGTTTTGTGGCTGTGCCCACCACACTGTGTCAGAATTCCAAAGGTGCCCACAGGCTCAAAAAGGTTGGGAACCCCGACACTACACTGCAATATATTAGAACTGTTTTTCTCTATGGTACTTGAAATGCCTCTGAACCCGTGCGAAAGTGCCTTTCCTCCATGATACGGATTTTAGGAAACAGCATTTTACTGACCTTCCTGAGTGCTGAATCCACCGTGGAGGACACTCTGGCTTTAAGACCCAGGAGGAACCTGTGCACTCTAACTGACAGTGGTGGGGGAAAGTAGGTGGGAGGGAGGGGAGAGAAACTTTTTAATGTCCAGCCAATCCCCTTTTGTGCACTGGACACTTTAGGCCAGTGGCCAGTGGGTATTTGTTCCTTGCGTAAAAGAGGGTCCTGTTAGGAGCCCGGCTCAACGGTGGCACCTTTCACCACCATCCACTCATGAAAGTGGAAATCAGGGGATTCTCTCCTCAAGCAGCAAAGATCTGTCCAGCGAACCAGATGCCGATGCTCAGCCACTGATGACTGCTTGCCAACACTGGCCTCTTAAAGAGGCCGAATGCCTCTCCTGATGCACTCCGTCAGCTGCATGGGTCGGAAGACTGACTCTTTCATCTCATCCCTTCTGAGTTGGGCCGTCATGTTGCTTTGACACTTGGCTGAGATTCCCATAAGCGAGAGAAAGAAACCAGGCACAACTTTCTTGACAGGATTAAAGAACCAGAAGGGCTTAAGAGACAGTCTAGTGCAAATTTTACGGCCAAAGTCATCTCTGATAAGGAGTGGCTCCTGTTTTCTTGGCATGAAGGCTAAGGCAGAGGCTATGAAAGAACTGAGCATCGGTGCAGGATATTGGCTGGTTTGCTGCGCATGGCTTTTGACAATTGGACCACTTAGTGGTATTGAGGGCGGATGTGGCAATCGGGAGGCCCACAAATGCTGCCCAGGTCGGAATAATGACTGCTTGGATTTCTCTCGGAGGAGAACACCATGCTACTGTGACAACTACTGTGAGAAAACAGGGGACTGTTGTGAAGATTATCATGCCATCTGTCAAGTGTCGGGTGAGTTACCTTTCTGGGTAGGGAAGGATGTTGCCTCTTGGGATGCCCTTTGGGTTTGCAATGTAATTATCTGCCAAAAAAAATTACCTTTTAAAACTATCTGGAAGACACAGTGGTCTCTAGAAAGGGGCTTTTCTGCTTACTTGTGATCCAAGTGGATCACAGTTTGAAAACCACAGGATTGCAAACGTCTGATCTGAATTCTCTGGCATTCCCCAATAGGGAATATTCTTTAGATTCTGTGGGGCGGTGATAACTGTTTAGTAATTAAAGTTATCCCAGAAACTAAAAGGCATCTTGGAGATATGATCACAGAGATTTACATGTGTGTCAGTAACACACATCCAAGGGCCATATCATCCCAGACTGTTATGCTTTTACAATGAGTGGTGAAACGAATCCCATGTCTACTGCCTTCTATTCTCTACCACAGATTGAGAGTATTCACAAATCCAGGTATGCAAAATTATAATATTTTAGCTGGGTTATGGAAGTGTCTTTAACATACTGTCTTTGGCCCAATTTTTGTTGAGTTGACAATCTCATGTCTGGACCATGACATTTAGACAGCAAAGGGTGGTTGGTATGAGTGAACGGTATTTTATTTTTTTAAAAATCCCTGAACATAGAAAACTGTTGTGTTAGAGAGAGGGCTAGGCTAGATCCCTTCTTGCCTAACTTCGAGTGTTCCCTTTGTATTTTTTGTATGTAGACATACTGTCTTTGGCCCAATTTTTGTTGAGTTGACAATCTCATGTCTGGACCATGACATTTAGACAGCAAAGGGTGGTTGGTATGAGTGAACGGTATTTTATTTTTTTAAAAATCCCTGAACACAGAAAGCTGTTGTGTTAGAGAGAGGGCTAGGCTAGATCCCTTCTTGCCTAACTTCGAGTGTTCCCTATGTAAGGAATTTTGTGTAGACAGAAACGTTCAATTGTATGATCCCCTCCCAGCAGTCTGAGATGGCATAGCCCACATCAGGTGAACTGGGCCTTAATCTTACCAACAAATATGTCCCTTTGCTGTTATTTTTATTTTACCAACTGGAAAGTGTTTGAAAGGAAGTGAGTCACCCACCCAACATCACTGAGAGACACCATCACTGACTGAAGATTTGATGGTGAGATTCTGGTGCAGCTGAGGCCCTGGACTATGCTGATGAAGATGAGTGGAGACACTGGAGAGAGAATGGTCTCATTGACAAGACTGGGGGGGTCATTTAACAAGGGTTGCCAACTCCAGGTTGGGAGATTCATGGAGATTTTGGGGGTAAAGCCTGGGAGGAGAGGGAATAGAGTCTAATGCTGTAGAGTCTGCCCTCCAAAACAGCCATTTTCTCAATTTTCAGCTCTCTTTCCTGAAGATTAGTTGTAATTCCAGATCTCTAGACTCCACCTGGAGGTTGGCAAAAACTACATTTACTAGTTTTGGACTAATCCTCGGGGCCTGATTGTGGGGCAGGTCAGTGTGAATGAATGGCCAGGAACTTTACCATTTCTTAATGAGTGCAGATGTCTCCTGAATTGGCAGTTCACCAGGAGGTGTGAAGCAGGAGGCAGTGTCTTGCAAATGAGACTTTGCGGCTGGAACTGGGAACGGGAGAGGGATGGAGCTGGGGCTCAGAGCTTCTACCAGATGTTAGATCGATGGTGCAGAGCATGAGGTCTGCAGACCACACGTGGGCCATAGAGCCATGTTGTTCCGAGGCAGAAATATTCCCCCTCCTTTGGGGAATGGTCAGACTGCCACTTATCAGTTTTCTCTTGAGTTGTGAGGCAGCATTCTGACCCCTCCCCAGAGGCGGGGTAACATCTCCACTACATCCAAGGGGCTTCTGATTGATTGTGATGTCATAGGGTGGGGCCTGGTGATGTCATGGGGTGGCCCACTTCGCTCCAGTCAGATTCATTGTGGTCCATGTTATTGTGTGAGATGTGCGACACTGAGGGAACTATGGGCGCAGTCGGGGGAAGGGAGGGCTGCACATGTTGCCTTCTGGTAGATCTTCTGCCAAGAGCGGAAGTGCCTGTTTGCCTCCACTTGTACTCTGCTTCTAGATGTAGGAGTAAAGCAAATGCTCTGAAGGCACTGTGAAGGACAAGCTACATAAATTCTGCTTTTTTGATGAGTTGGGTCTGGATTATCCAACTTGCTTTCCCCTCAGTCACACAACAGCTGTGGGGAAAGACATTCCTAAAGTCCCCAGGAACCCAATCGTCATTGGGAGGAGGAGCGGCTATGTTAAGTCGCGAACTTAACAAAGAGTCGGAGAGTGATTCAGCTAGAATGTGGCTTTTATTCTTCGTTACTTCTCCAACACGGTACAACAATCGCCAGCCAGAACCCATCAAAATATATACACTGGCTTCTCTGTATTTAAACATTCCCGGCTAACGTAGCCACACCCCCTGTACAAATAACAACCTATGAGGTTGGAGAGATAAAGGCCAATCACAAGCGATCCCGCTTTGTAACGTGATTGGTCGACACTGCCTGGGCTAGGGCTCCTATTGGATACATTAGGATCCTAGCCCAGGGCGAAGCTTAACATTGCATCTCTATTAGGCAATTCGCATAACAGTCCATGTGATAACAATCCATCTGAATACATAACAGGCTACTTCGCAGAACAACATTTTCTAGGGTTCCTCTAAGAAAGCTAAGACAGAGGAACTGGTTTTAAACCCTTCTAACAGTGCAATCCGAAGCAGAGTCACAGCCCTGGTCTTGGTTTTGTTATAATCTGTTCTTACATTGCTGTATGCTGCTGATAGTCATGAAATTCTTCTCTGCGGTATTGTTAGTTTTTATCGCTGCTGCGGAATGGATATTCACTCAGGTTGTTCTAAACTCCTGTATTGTTTGACGCCTGTTTTGTTCATGGGATGATTGTCCGCCTTTTGGAGAATCAATTGCTGAAACATGTAGAAATATCGGACATTGAAAATTCATGCTGAAGTGAGGACTAATAGCTTTGGGGGAGGGGGAATCTCATTTTCTTAATTGTTGGATTAAACTTCATCCATACAGAGCAAGTGACAATTTACTTGTTTGTTCTTCGATAAGATATGGTGGACACTGCTGTCGTGTCACAGCTGACTTATGGCGACTCTGTAGGGTTTTCAGGGCAAGAGACATTCAGAGGTAGTTTGCCATTGCTGACTTCTGCAGAGCAACTCTGGATTTCCGTGGTGGTCTCCCATCCAAGTTCTAACCAAGGCTGACCCGCCATAGCTTCTTGAAATCCAGGTCAGGGCTTCATAAAATACACAGGACACAAAAGACTTTTAGCCTAGCCCTGATTGGAATTTTATACTGGCAAGGAAAAGAACTTGTTGTGAGACATTGCCTGGGCCACCACACTTCAGTGGGTTCACAACCTGTGCAAAGGAGCTGTACACCCAGACTATGGGTATCTGGCACACTCATGTTAACGTGTGTAGCAGCTTTGTGTGGGTTGCAGCCCAATGCTGGTCCCACACAAAGTCCAACAGATAAGCTGCTCATTTTCACTCTGGGGCCTATAAATTGTCAACGACATGGAGGCGTGTTCCTTTGTTTTTCACATTGTTATTCTGTTTCTCCTCTCTGCTGCCCCAAAATGTTGGAGGCAAATCAACTGTCTGCTGTTTTGGAATCTGGAGGCCATCACAATTGGCAGCCTTGAGTCATTTTCAATGGAGTTCTTCTTGCTTCAGAGAGGCCAAGACTCGTTTTTTTGTGATGATGGGAAAGTCCCCTGCACTGCTCTGTCCCAAAGGCTCTGCTAACATCGGCATCCTTTGTGAAGAAAAATGTCTGTCGATGTCAGTCACAGCACTCCTGATGGGGGTGGGGCGGGGAAACCGCACCAGTAAGCCACCCCTAATCTCCACAGAGATTAGCCCAGTCACAACTCAGCTCAATTACCAAGCAATGGCATCTGCCCCTAAATAAAAGAGTCAGGAAGCTGGAAACCCACATAGCACCACCTTGTTGATTTAGAAACAGACTCACTTTTCGAAATGTTTCATGAGTTGACCTAGGAGTGGCTCAAGAGAGTTTTGCTCCTTTCCCTCAAGCCTGAACCCTCATCCTCTTTTCTCTTCTCCCAGAAACAAGAGTACTCAAAGGCTAGGGAGGGCTGAATGTTCTCCATTTCATCTCTTTTTACTTCTGTCAGTGATTTGAGTTTTCCACTTTTTGCTGTTGGTTTTGGTGAATGGTTTATGTTTTGTATGCACATTGTATAGGTTTGATAAGTAATGTATACTTAGGGCCAAAATACATGTTACTTTTTTTTTTATGAATTGGGTCTGGATTTCTATCCACACACTAAGGGAAAATAAAACGCAAGCCCAGTAGTACCGTAAAGACTAACAGTATGAGCTTTTGTGAGGCACTGCACACTTCTTCAGATAGACAGGTGAAAGACAATCTCACTGGAAATTCTTCTTACAGGGAAGATTACTGGCCGTGGGGGAGGAGCTGAGGTAGAGAGGCTTGGTGTGAATTCTACCATGAATCTTCCAAGTGTAACTTCTCAGTGTAAAGGGAGTAAAAGTAGTAGAAAGGTCAGGTATAAATCCTGTCATAAATCAACAATTTGATGAGAGAGGTCAGAGGTTAAAATAGGTAAGGAAAGTGATGAAGCAGGATAAATCGATTCAGTGAAAATTAACTGATATTGGTACAAGGTTATAACCTTGATAAAACATTAAGAACAGTCCATTAGAATTTCTGAAAAGTAGGTCCTGTAGAACTAGTGGAGCTTGTGGTGAATAAAGAAATCCAGGTCTCTGTTGAGAACATGTAGTGTTTAATTTCCTGATGCGCTCTAATTCAGGACTTTCACGTTTTTGAAGTTTTGTTTTGTTTTTGCTAGAATAGTGAATTTTAGGTCTATAATAATATGTCTGCCCTGACCTGGATAGTCTATCCAGATCTCATCATAGCTCAGAAGCTAACCCTGGTTATCTCAGAGCCAGCCCTGGTTAGTAACTGGATGGGAGACCAGC